GACCACAGCAAGGCAGCGTTACACTGGTGAATACATGTGAAAGGATTTCAGGAGCCTTTTGCTTCATTTACATTATTTTAGTGGTTTGAGTAAGAGTACTTTTTAGACATTCTAACAATGTATTTTTGAAAATGTATGAAACAAAAAAAAGTCTCCATACCTGTTAAATAACAAACTAACTTTCTACGAATACATTCAAGATGTTTTTTAAGATAGACTATTTACATGTTCTGAAGCCACACAACATTCAATAGCTTTAGCCAACGAGCTGCTGGGTCAGGTGAGGCTGCAGCAGCTCTGTGCCCTGATGTGAGCTACATCATCTGTCTTTTGTGGTGTTCTAAGGCTCTGTGCCTGTTAGCATGTTAGCCTAGCTCCTGCTGGGTGACAGACCCTGCAGTTTGTGATGGACTCTTACCACTGATGCACTGGCAGAAAGAACATAATTGCGAGGCCTGGGCCCTTTCTCATTTCACTAATTCCCCTCCTCGACTCCCCTCCTCGACTCCTATCCTCGAGACTTAGTCCCGCCCACAGGAGATGCGAGCGGAGGAGCCGAGGAGGGGAGCCGAGGAGAGAGGAGGGGAAGCAGCAGGCGGTTAGAGAAATGAGAACTCCTCTCCTCTGAGCGGTCATTTTAAAGAGACGTCCATTAATGATGACAGGAGGCACAGCAGCCCTCTGTCTGATGGACAGATGTGTCATTGACAGTGCGGTATAATGAGACAATAACAGGCTACAGATGCGGACACACACACACACACACACACACACACACACACACACACACACACACACACACACACACACACACACACACACACACACACACACACACACACACACACACACACACACACACACACACACACACACACACACACACACCTGTATATATTTATATAAATATATACAATTTCAGAATCAAGCAGAGCACTCTCATAATAACGTAACACTATCAGAGACTGGATATATCCCCCCCCCCCCCCCCCTCCTCTCCTCTCTCTGGTTGCTACAATGAGGGAAATAAATTACGGGCCAAAAGTTGTATTTACAAGTATTAAAAGTAAGCAGAGGACACCAAACCAACTGAGACCTGTCTGTCCGCTGCATCTACGCACACACTGCACCACACACACCTACACCACACACACACACCTACAGCTCCTAAAACATATAATCAGGCTACAGCCGTTGTGTATTTTATTATGTGAAGCACTAAATGGTTTTAGAAAAATATCGACTCTTTGTTTGTAGATATCTACTAAACTAAAGCAAATAAAGAGAGTAGGCCTGTTATACTGAGTGATATATATTTGAGACACTGCTCTGCTTTCTGCACGGACCTCACAGCTGTTCTCTCTGTAAACATCGCGTGGCGATGAAAGCAGTTAATAAAATAATATCCAGGGGATGCATGCAGAGCTGTCATTGGCTGAGATAAGTCCGGCCGTGCGTCTCGACTCTTTGAAACATCACTGTTCCCGGAAATGCATCCACGGAGGATCCGTGGAGGACCCATCAGTGTATCCTCGGTTATAGCTCCTCCAGAGAGCCTCCTCGACGCTCGATCCTCGGTCCTCGATGTGCATTTAGAGAAATGAGATGTCCTTCAACATGGCGCACTAAAATTCATTTCCGGGTCACTACCGGAGGACCGAGGAGTCGAGGAGTCGAGGAGGGGGAATTGATGAAATGAGAAAGGGCCCTGGTCTCCTGAAAAGCAGGTGCAGCCTACAAACAAGAGCAGGGAGGAGGAGACACATGTTGGCACAGTCATGCATTACAATAATAAAGCAGAACAACAAAAACAGTTAGCCAAAAGCAAAGCAGCATGAGCAGAACACTGAGAACACGCTGTGGTGTCTCATAGCAACGCGGTGCAAAGTATTTATGACTGGATCATTTATGAATTGCTGTTAAAGCATAAACAGTTAGAATGCTTTAGTAAGTTTTGCTTTAACTTTAATAAAATGATCCTGTGTCAGGGTTGGGGAAAAATAGGACCCAAATGCAGTAAAAGGACTAAAAGGTCAGGTAACAAAAAGCGAGCTTTATTTCCCAAAGCTGAATGACAAAAGAAAACAAGGAACAACTTAACATACCAAAACCGGGTGAGTACGAGGAAGGATCAGGACAAAAAACCTCAGGAACAAACATGGAGCGTGACAGGTAGCATGGACAAGAGCAAAGAGACTAACAGGTATCATAGACGAGAAACGACGACGAACAGACATGGAGCACAGGGGAAGACAAGACAATGCGAAAAAAGCACTGAAATCTCCCTTTTTTGTATTTTCACAAATCTCAAACGGTGTTATAAAGAATTTTGAGCCTCTCTGGGATAATCCAGTCCAAATAAATCGGCTATGCAGCGATTTAAGAGGTTCAAACACGGAGGATTGTTCGCTCAGCGCTGGAAATTAAATTTCCCTTAACTTTTCCCTTAACTGCCGAATCGGAAGCTCTGAATCGGAAGCCAACTTCAGCGTCGTGTAGCTAACTGTACCTGCTGTTAGGCTACTTAGCTTGCATTGTTATGGATCTAAAGGTAGCAAAAGCTAACTTTCATAGCACAGCTTTACTTCTCACTTAACACAATAAAGAAACAGACCGTATAGTACAGCACAAATAACACAAATGATCAATACTTACATATATCTTCACTTGTAGTATTATAATAATTGAAATGCTGGTTCTTCTGGGGGTGTTATATCCACGCTCAGCTTCCGCACTGTTCAATCGCTGGAGGACTGGGCTGTCACTCAAAAACTGAGTAGCCAATGGGGACGCACCCCTGAAACCTGGGATGTTTGTGTCAGAATTGAAAACGAAAAATGAGGGAGCGCAAACGAGAGAGCTGCAGCGACAGCAAAAGTCTGATCATTGAGAAAGAAGCAAAGAGAACTGCAAACAAAATATGTGTTAAAACAAATAAAAAAGACTTATAGCATGGCATGATTACACAAATGATTTGTTTGCAACTTATAGTTTTATTTTTGAAATTAAATGTATTTTGCTTGACTCAGTTTTTTTTCTCTTAAACTCTTAGTTTTGCTTGATTCTGAGAAAGTGTTGCTTTATCTTTATGAAACAAAACGAATCCCATAATTAATAAGATGTGAAGTGCTTATCTGAGTTATCTCTGGGGCTGCTTCGCTGCTGGAGCTCCCCGGGACCCGAAAGTGGCGTAGCCTAAGTAGCCTACTTCAACATCAATGCATACGAAAGTGCTCGATATATGCTGTATTGAACAAATAAACTAACACAAACTAACTGTATCACTATAACATGATGATGATGATGATGATGATGATGGTGATAAAGAATGCATCTAACGTTCCGCTGTTCATAATAATACAAAACAGTGCATTAAACAAACCATCATGCTCTTACTTTGAAATCATGCGGAAATGTCATCATCAGCAGGCCATCACGTGGTTTCCGATCCACAAATGCATTTGTGGATGATGTTTTGCATTTACAAATCACATATTTACACACAAATTATTTTTATGTTCACACAAATAATTACGAGACAAATCTATGCCCATACGGACACTACATCCATTTGTTCCAGTGCGAAACATGGCCAAGACGCAGGCGACGTTCCATCGGGACGCGTTCTTTGGTGTTCTTTGGTGTCAGTTTGGTGTGTAAGGACCTTTATGTGACTCTAATCCACTCTATTAGCACAGTTAGCTCATATAATGTGTTCATCTATAAAGGGCTACTCCTTTTGAAGCGACAGGTGTTGTAAGGATGCGTGGAAGGGTAGGACCCAAATGCAGACTATCAGAAAAGGTAAACGGTCTTGAAACAAAAACGAGCTTTATTCTTAAAGCTTAACAATAGCATGGCATGAAACACATAGGTTCTATAGAAAACTGACCGTGACCAACATGGTGGGAGACAGGAGAAACAAACAATGAACCGACAGGGGAACACAGGAAGAGACAAGACTAAATACAGAGAGGGGTAATCACAAGACGAGACACAGCTGGGGTAAGGGAGGCAGAAACACAAGGGCAACAGGTGAACACAATCAAACAATCAGACACACCAGGGAAACTAAGACAGGAAGGCAAACACAGGAAGAAGGAACAGAGAAGACACGAGGAAAACATTTCAAAACAAAACAGGAAACCAGAAAAAGACAAGACAAAACACAACACAGACAGATCGTGACAGGTGTAATATATAGCCATCCAGCATATTAATATGTATATGTTCCCTGTTGCAGTGTGTATAAAAGACATCAGCTGACAGGAAGTAGAAATAGACCAAGGCTGTTGCATAGCAATGCAATACCGTGCAAACAGTTTATACGAGTGTGTGTTGGGGGGTGTGTTCCTGACAAATGCCTCGCGTGGGCATGCCCTCACAGCTGGTTAGCTGGCCGGCTCTGTTGGGATTGGTCAACTGCTTAGAGATGTCCCGCTCCTTAGCCTCACATACAATGTGTTGGAGCACTAGCCAATAGAAGCGCAAATGTTACGTAGTGATGTCACTATGTTCTGGTGTTTCAGGCAGAGTGTGTGGGAGAGAAACTCCCTCTGGAGTGAACACAGGGACATTGATATTTTGAACGTTGTGAAAACCCTTTGGCGCGGCCCCAATCTGCAGCAGTACATCTCTGAGCTTCCTGCTGAAACTCCTGTCTGTTCCTCTAAACTGGGGGCACGCTGACCTCCATGAACTGTAAGTGATACACCCAGAACATCATAGAGCTAACTTCAGAACAGCTGAACTATCCCTTTAATGACCCCACCATCACATTGTGTTCTATCAGACGATCTCCAGACTGCATCAACCTGTCTCCCTCTGTCTGAACTGAGGAGCTGCCAGGGGGAAGGGGGGAGGGGGTGTCTGTCTGTCTCTCAAAATAGAACAGGGGGAACACCGCGGAGCTGGAAAAACACTGCGCGGTGGGGCAGTGCATGCTGGGCCGCAGGGATTGCAACATCGACTCAGATCTGTGATCTCTCAATGCCTGGTTCTGAGGAGGGCAGTGACTCAGAGGAACGTAAACCTGTTGATCTTCTATAAGTGAGACCATCAAGTAAGTTCACTTTCTGTCCTTTTTACACATTTGGGTTTTATGCAGAGGAAGAAAAAGATTGTGTACTTAAGTAAAAGTACAACCACCAAAGAGAAGGAATATTCTTTACCAGGAAAAGTCCTGCATCAAAATGTTACTCAAGTAAAATTATCAGTAGTCATTGTGCAGATTGGTCCATTTCAGAATAATATATATGTTTTCTAATGATTGATCAGTAAAGTGTTCTCAAAGCTGGTAAAGGTGCAGCTAGTTGTAATGACTTTGTATACTGCAGAGTAGCTTGTGAATTTACTCCAGGTGGAACTAAAGTCTGATTTAACACTTGATTAGATTTCACATCATTCATCCAGATCTGTCAAGTATAAGATATTAAATACATGTAGTGGAGTATAAATACACCATTTACCTCTGAATTGTAGTGGATTAGAAGTGAACGTATCTCAACATTTTACTTAAGTACAGTACTTGAGTAAATGTACTTAGTTACTTACATCACTGATTTTATGTCATAATTTAGCACACTATAAGGCTGTTTTCAGGTCGGATGCATAGAGAGTAGGATATGTGGAAACATGTTTGTGTAAGGGATCCTCACCGGGTGATGTGGTCACAGGTTTGACCTTTTGCTTGTCAACTGGATGTAACTTCTGTTTTTGGCCACATATCTACACTCTTGAAGGTTTTTTAGGAGTGGTTTGTTCATATATTAATCATGGCCTGATTTATAGAACATTGTATTCATTAATACATTGTTAACAATTAATTTGTATTGTCTGTCTACAGTATTTTCTGATTTATTGAGTGAAATGAGATCCAAATTCCCTCTGTAAAAACCTTTGGCTCTTATATGTCAACACGAGAAACATGAGTTGAACTTGGCTTAATTCAATGTTAAGATTTATGTTCCTAAAAATGAAAAGGATTGTCTTAAAGGTAGGGTAGGTAAGAATGGAGAAACCAGCTCGAGTGCGCTAGAATTTGAAAGTACGCAGCCGGAAAAAATCTGCCTCTTCTTTCAGACTTCCTTATAGAGCCCCTCCTCCAACACACACGAACACGCACATGACCAATGAGGGCACGAGATAAGTTTGTGCATGAGATGGAAGGCTGACAGGCAGGTAGGCCATCCAGTTACAGTACTTTAGCTGGGCCGGCTAAAATAATTGGCCACGGCTTCCACAGATGAAATGTTTTTATGTATTTATTGTCAAAGCATTTAATGTATTCATTGCTATCGGGATGTTAAGAGAATTCCATGGAATATAACAAAAAGTGTTTCTGAAGTGAATAACCTACCCCACCTCTAATGTAAGAAGTTTCATGGTGTTTTTTTAAATTTATTTATTCATCGTAGGGTCTTCCCTTAATTCCAGGCTTGGGCATGTAACATGATTACATCATCAGGATACAAAAAAGTATATTCCCTTACAGTTACAGAAACGTACAGCCCCCCCCCCCCCCCCCCCTCCCCCGGCTGAATTGGACTTCTGTAACATAGTAACACCACTATGTGACACTCACATTCCTATTGGCTAGCGATCCAACACATTGTACGTGACAGGCTAAGGGGCGGGACATCTCTAAGCGGTTGACCAATCACAACAGATCCGCCCAGCTAACCAATCAGAGCAGACTCTGGTTTCAGACAGAGGGTGAAAAGAGGTGCTACAGCACAGGCAGTATGAGAAAAATAAAGAGCTTTTTGAACATTAAAGCATTAAGTCATGTCACAGTAGAGCAGGGGTCTCCAACCTTTCTTCATCTGAGAGCTACTTTCAAAAAATGAAAGTGGCCAAGAGCTACTTGCATCACATCGCTTACATTTATTCACATAGCCCTCATCAGTTGAATTAAGCTATACTTTTGTACACGTGTGAAATTGCAATACCTAAAGCTTATCAAAAATAAGGTCCAAGAAAACGAAGATTTCTCACATATTATTATGGCCCACATAATAAGTACATCACTGAACATTCACATAAGTGTCCTTAATCACCACCTTACAAGCATTTCACTCTTTTGTTAGTGAGATTAATGGCACTGCATACAGTCCACCATAGAGGTGTATGCTGGACCCACTTAGGTTCACTTAATAGAGTCATTTAAATGTTCATCAGTCGGTCTTGTTCTGTATTTAGATTTCATTCATGTCAGAAAAAGCTGCTTCACAAAGGTATGTAGAACAGAACCAAATAAAGCAGACATTTTCAGTGCTGCTTGGTGAATGTTCTTATAGTTTTCTGGGTCTACAAGGCTCCAGAAATGTTGTGAGTTTTGCTGAGACTTAAGCTGAAAATTATTTTGGAGATCTCCACAGGATTGACACTGAACAGTTGTTCAGCCATCTTTTTCTTCTTCTTCTTCGTCTTGACATTAAATTATAAACCATAATAAATCAATTGTATAGGTCTAGCCTCCCTATATCTGTGTGTGAAAATGGTTCCATCCTCAAAAACAAAAAACTAATACTTCTGCAGTCTAGCTGCAGCTTCTAGCAACGGTCTTCTGTTAAAAAAAAGACACACATGACTTGAGTCTGAAAACAGCAGGAGTATTTACAATAGCATTATAAAAACAAAAATAGTGCATGTGGGTGCACACTTACATTCTCTGTCTTACTGTTACATAAATCCCATGAATGTATGAGATTAAGTTAGCTTCATCATATCTCAATCAGTGATTAAGTGAATAATAAAGTTTCTATCGGGTCACTATCAGCCTGTCACTCATTATTTTCAGGGAGGGGGCGGGGTTTGGAGGAACGGAGAGGAGACGGTGATCGCGGAAGCTTTCCTCCTGCCTTCACAAACTTTACACAAGTATTTATCAACTGAAAATAGCAAGAGGACATTCATACTCTGCAATCCAAGACTTGATTAAATCCACCAAAAACCTGACATGACGATAACGAGTGTTTTTCAAAAAACACAAATCCCTCCCTGTGTGTCTCTGAGGCGCAGCGACAGGGCCTGATTCAGAGCGGGTCATTCTGCTGTTAGTTCTGGACTCGTGCTGGTGGAGAAAGCAGACTGCTCCGTGTGTGTTGTCGCTGTGCTGCTGTCACGTCTGTTCCTTGATCTCTGCGTCACCGACCATTTGATATTCGTGTGACAGAAAAAAATCTAAAATAAAAAAACGTTATTGTCCAGCCGCGGCCGAAAAATCAATAAGCAACCTTACTACGCTATAATCGATAATCGAGCGGCGAGCTACTGAAAAGCTGCCCGCGAGCTACCGGTAGCTCGCGATCGACGTGTTGGAGAGCCCTGCAGTAGAGGAACAAAATACAAATATGAACCTGAAAATGAGCATAGTAGGGCAAATACATATTGTACAGGTAATTAGTAATTGTAACGGATATATTCTTGAAAGTAACCCTCTTAATTCTTTCCCTATTATCCCCACACAAGGTCCGATGGACGATCTAAGGAAGAGGTTGGGGGTCATGTCACAGACAATATGTCCAAAGTGGTGGGCTTCATCTGAAAAGACTGTAAAGGCCCCGGTTAATGAGAAAGATGAGAAAATGCAGTTGAAGAGAGAGATCTCCCTGGGGAATGGGATCTGCCTCATCGTTGGGAACATGATCGGCTCCGGGATCTTCATCTCGCCCAAAGGTGTCCTGATGCACAGCTGCTCCTACGGGCTGTCGCTGGTGATCTGGGCCGTTGGAGGCCTCTTCTCCGTGTTCGGGGCTTTGTGCTACGCAGAGCTCGGCACCACCATCACCAAGTCTGGAGCCAGCTACGCCTACATCCTGGAGTCCTTCGGAGGCTTCCTCGCCTTCATCCGTCTGTGGACCTCCATCCTGCTGGTGGAGCCGGCCAGCCAGGCCATCATCTCACTGACCTTTGCAAACTACCTGGTGGAGGCGTTCTACCCCACATGCAACCATCCGTACGATGCTGTCCGGCTCATCGCTGCAGCCTGCCTCTGTAAGAAACACTTCTCTCTCGCTATATAGTTTATCTCCCAGAAAAACAGCCTCGACTGCTATGAAACATTAAAGGTCCCATGTCATGCTTTTCCGGTTATTACCCGTCCCCTTCTGTGTTATGTAGCTTTTTCTACAAAGTCACAAACGGTCTGCAAAGTCACAAACCCTCAAACTACACCCTGTAGCGAGTAAAACTCTAAAACAGAGACCTGTCTATGCTGCCCGAGAACGCCTCGTTGGAGATTTTTCTTTTCCCATTTTCTCCTTCCGGGGCATATTGACGTAACGAAGTCCAAATGGACCAATCCGCGGAGCTCCGCACACACCGGCTCGCTCAGCCTTATCTTTTCTCAGCTGCGGTGCTCCACGGAGCTTCGCACACACACACACTCACTCAGCCTTATCTTTTCTCAGCCGCGGTGCTGCGCGGAGCTCCGTACACACACACACTCGGAGCTCAGACTGTGAGTGTGTGTGTGTGTGCTCAGGCTGAGCTCCGCGGTGTCTCGCTGTCTCGCAGACCCCACGCAGCAACCAGGAAACTACACCAGTAATCCAGCTCACACTGTCCGCTCCTCGAGCCTCAAAGGGCGGAGCAGCGAGCCCCGCAACATCCCGCCAACACGGCACCCAGACCCCACGCAGCATTCTCATCTGTTTGTCATTACTGGTGTCATTTTCTGGTTGCTAATAAACGCCATTGTAACACATAAACACTGATGTTCAGCTGTAACGGTGGTTGACTAATTAGAACAGAGTAGGCGAGCTGACCAATCAGAGCACAGTGGGCTCATAGGGAGGGGGGGCAGGAGCTCCAACAAGGTGTGTAGGACAGAGAGTGAATACACATACTATACAGAGATGCTGTATGAGAAACCAATGTGAGTTTGGAACATTGAACAATGTAAATCTATTCTAGTAGACCTCAACAATGGAATTATGATCAGTAGAAATGGCCATGACATGGGACCTTTAAAATCTGTGCAATTATACATTTGTGCTGAAGAATACAGCCATGAAAAACTCACTTCATTGCCACCTAGTGTTTCAAATGTACCTGAGTTCAGTCCAGATTTAGAGAAGATTGATTTGGAAATCCTTCAAATGTTCATTAAATCAAGAGATCTTTTTTTTTTAAGCAATAGCCATTTGATTTATTTACGAGCAGTTTTCCTTTTTAAACAACTACAGTATAATAGGATTCCCACTTAATGACACATGTCATTGTCTATTCTACTCTAAAAGACCCTAATTTACCAAAAGAAAATCATGAAAAAGACTTGAGACATGCAATTGAGACCATGAAAATATTTACTGGGGTTCTAAATCAAAAGAGTAGGGTATTTTTCTCATAGACTTCTATACAATCAGACGTATAGAGTATTTGCAACAAGGGGAGTCGCCCCCTGTAGGATATTTAAAATTAAAACCCAAAATGTTGTCTATTTTCTTGGAACCGTATTTCAACAGCACATCTTTAGCTCTCCATTCAGCCGAGCTCCAAACTCTGTAACCCTGTGTGATTGGCATCAGCTATAGATAGAGCGCCACACTGTAAAAATACCGCTGCCTGGCTTTGTCCTGTGGAGAATGTAGTTCACAGAAGTGTTATTTTGGTGAGAGATCAGTAACGCCATGAGTTGAGTTACTGTACCCTCTTGCAGACTGTGGCCCATGTGACACACTGGTTCTGCTATCTCCGACATAAGGACGATCTACCAAATTTAATTTAACGTATTACAGAAAGAGTTTCCAGATGGTTGACCCTTGTTTCCTGAATGTTTTATTGTTGCAAGTGCAAACCAAGCCCAAGGAAGCATGCCGAATGTTGAATGTCTGTAGTGGTCAAACGGTGGTACTACAACTTCTGTGTCAGTCAGTGACGTCATTGGGCCCATATAGCTTATTCCCATTGACTTACATTGGAGGGGGGGTTTTCAAAACTAAATCAACAACCCATTACGAACCCTTGGTAGCCCTTATTAATCATTAGGGTCTTAAAGTTATAAAATGCGCTAAAGGCCGAATCCAGAGTTATTTTCGTCGTGAGTAGGCGTGACGCTGCGGATGGAGGCGGGGTTTAAGCAAAGTACATGTACGCATTGTCTATGGGCCCAGGTATGAGTACTTTAACACTCAAGAGTCAGGCTACTTTGGCTTAAAGCGCCACTGAGCAACTTTCATAGCAATGAACGGGGTTTCGCCTCCAACACTGTATCCAGTTCTCTTTTTACATCCATGGTGCCAACTGACAAGAAAGCAGAAGTGGCCCAGCTGTTTTAGGCTTTTCTGTGTGAATGAATGTCTCAATCATGCAGAGGAAAGTACACAACAAGTCCTCCAACTCATACGACCAAATAGGTAGATTGTTCAAGTGCTTATTACGACCTATAATCACGTTTTAAAGTTTTCGACTCTAGTGCACCCGTTGACTGCAAACGCTCCGGTGGGTCGTATATTCACAAATAACCCTCTCTGGAAAATCCTAAATTGTAGGATAGTTTGGCAATTAAAATGCTTTTTGATTAGATTTCTAGCGAGAAGTGCATATTGTACTTTTAGAATCCACGTCCAGTGGATGTGTAGGATCTATAGTTTGATAGATATTACGAAGATGATTTGAGGTCTCGCCAGGGGAACGTGTATATACAACGTCTTTCCCCCTATTCATTTCTATTGACGGCAGCGTCCATGTAAAGTTAGCGTCAACCCTCACGGGGTGAAATCAGTATTTCCGGTCTCAAAGTTTTCATAATAAAACCGTATTCCCCTCACCGTCAAATGATTTTACAGTGATATCTGCCGCACTCATCCACTAAAACACATCAGTTTATCCTTGTTAATTACACAACATTAATTGGTTTAAATTGTGTACACTGCTTTTGTGTTTTTCCCCTAGGTTTTTCCCTTTCGATTCTGGGAGACACATTTATTTTTTCAGAGGTTTAGATAGGCTAAAACATCAAACTACCCATAATCCTCAGCTATCGTTGAAGCTCGGTGATTGGATGTTTTAGCCGCAATGCATGTTGGGATATGGTGTTTATGCGATGTGAAATCCGAAAACATAAAAAAAAAAAAAAAAATAATACTTTATTCCGAGTGTGTTTGCTTTTCTCTTTGAAAGTCATCACATAACGGCATTGTAATACAGGTTCGGCTGCATTAAATATTACACATCTGCCGTAGTTCTTTATTTATAGAGCCCTGATTAGAAGACCTTTGGACAAACTGGAAGAGATGCCGCCAAAACTGAATATATGACTTGGATCATAAATATATCAGCAATTAAACAACATCTTCAATTTCTCTTCACACACAATTCGGCTGACTTTTATATTTGATCCAATTGGTAGATAGGTTATATTTACACCATAACGGTGCACAGCTGATAGACAGGGACTTTTCTTTGAATATAAGAATGTAAATACTGAGTTGAGAGAATAGTCAGGGGTTTTGGGTGATGGGAGACACATCTATGGATTCAGAATTTCAATAGCTTACCATTAAATGACGGATATACCTTTCTGTCTGTGATGTTTTACAAATCAGATATTAATGTGTAGAACTACAATATGTGAAATAATATAGCAATATCCTGTAGAATTATGTGAAAACATGAATAAAACTACACATCTTCAGATGTTATACATCAGGGATGCAAACTCATCAGGTATGAAAAAGGTGACAAGGATCCGAGCCCCCCGACCCCACGGAATATCGGCTTTAAAATGAGGAATAACAGAGGATTTTAGCAGTCAGAACAACTAAAGCAGTTAATAATAACAGAAACGCCAAAGAGTCACATATAATAGAAATATATAAAAGCATTTATTTTAATTGTGTAGCAGTGTTAAATCAGACTTTAGTTCCACCTGGAGTAAATTCACAAGCTACCCTGCAGTATACAAAGTCATTCAAACTAGCTGCACCTTTATCAGCTTTGAGAACACTTTAATGATCAATCATTATAAAACATATCATATATATTATTCTGAAATGGACCAATCTGCACAATGACTACTTTTACTGTCGCTACTTTAACTATATTTTGATGAGAATACTTTTCTACTTTTACTTGAGGAACATTTTGAATGCAGGACTTTTACTGTAACAGAGTATTCCTACACTCTGGTACTTCTACTTTTACTCAAGTACAAGACCCGAGTACTTCTACTTTTACTCAAGTACAAGATCTGAGTACTTCTACTTTTACTGTCGCTACTTTAACAATATTTTGATGATAATACTTTTGTACTTTTATTTGAGGAACATTTTGATTGCAGGATTGTTCCTACACTCTGGTACTTCTACTTTTACTCAAACCTGAGTACTTCTACTTTTACTCAAGTACAAGATTTGAGTACTTCTACTTTTACTCAAGTACAATATCTGAGTACTTCTACTTTTACTCAAGTACAATATCTGAGTACTTCTACTTTTAATCAAGTACAAGATCTGAGTGCTTCTACTTTTACTCAAGTACAAGATCTGAGTACTTCTACTTTTACTCAAGTACAAGATCTATACTTATACCACCTCCGTTTATAGCCTATGAAAAAAACTATTAGAAAACGAAGGCTAAAGCTAACGTTAGCAGATAGTGACAATGTATGCTAGTTAGCTAGCTCGACAACGATAATATTGCGACAGAAAAACTTTTCAGTGCACATCACGCTCTGCCGCTCCGACAGGGTGCACTGCTCTGAACACCTGAACGGCCCGTTCTAACAGCTGTTCACCAGCGGTGCAGTCTGTGCCACAGTGACTCCGGACCGCACAGTTAATATTAACGAACGCACCCGTAGATAATGTAGCTAATGAAGCTAGACCATCATCGTGGAGCAGCAGAGCCTTATTATACATCCATGAGCAGAGCCGACAGGCAGGAAGACTCGAGCACACAGATCGCGCTGCATTATAATATATACACCATGCGTGTCATGATGGCACATAACAGCTCGCGGCCGCCGATTACTCCGGGTCCCAGACCCCCCCCATACCCCAAAAATATTTTTATTGCAGATCTACATGAATCACACAAACGACCTATTTTGGATTGAAAACGGCGAATTTCGCCGAAAGGTAACAAGTTTGCATCCCTGAATACATACATAAGTGTCCTACACTAATAATACAAAGTTATTATGGCATTGTATGCTGTGTGTTATTTGTAACATCTTCAGAAACTACCTTTCCAGCTATTTTTCTGTTACCGTTCTGTTTTAATTTCACAATAAAGTTGCTAGTAATATTATGTTTGATATTATTATTATAACTAAACTGGAAATTATACTGGAAAAGTATAATTTATTGTGTTAACACTGTAAACTTGACAGTTTTATAACCCGCACTGCCTAGTGGTTAAAGCACGTTATTGCATTTTTTTTGTTGAATATGTTATATTTGATGAAAACATTTAAATATTAAGAGTAGCCTACATACAACATAGGGGGAAAGTAGAAGATCAATGATAGAAATATAGAATAGAAAATATCAAGAAGATACTGTAGTGATCTCTACAATAAAACAGTTTAGTGCAGGACGTCCAAAGATATTAACAGGAGGATGTGCAAAACAGGCAAACTAATAAGGCTTTATTTAAACATTAAAGAATACTTTAAGATCTTCTTTTGAATAAGAAAAAAACTTTGGGGGTATCTACAGATAAATATTAAGCCTGACAAAGTACTTAACGTCTAATATATTGCATAGTTTATTTTGGCACTTGACTAGGGATGCTTCAATCGCCAATTTTGGGGCCGATCGCCGGAATCAGTATCGGCCGATACCGATCGCCGATCCGATCGAGTGGGCGGGGCCTATGGGGATCTTCCATTTAAAGTGATGTTTAAAACTCAGTTAATGGGGCTCATTCACTGGCGCTTCCACAAACAATAACCAATATAATTATTATATTCAAATGAAGTACATTATTCAAGTTTACATTAACTTTGGATAATAACACGGGAGAAATGAGCGGAAGCGCTCTCTTTTCCTCTCTCCCCCTCTCTCTCTCTCCTGACAGCCTGTCAGTATTGTGTCATGCAGCTCACTGATCCAGTAATGAGTGACCCGACAGTGAAGAATAAATATATTTATAACTAGTTTAGCGTGTTCTAGAGGTCTAACTCTTAGTGTTTGTTTTGCTCCGCTCACCGGTCCGTCACAGCGGGTGGAGCTGCAGGATTTCTGCTTCACACACGTTGCATACCGCTATTTTATTGTCATTTTCGGACACCTTCAAGTATCCGTTCGAGTCCAGTTTTGGATAGTCTGCCGTGGTTTCATTCCATTTCAAAGAGCTGTTTGACGCTCGGCGTAACCTTGGCGCACTGCCACTCCAACATCCAATCACAGAGCTCGAGGACTAATCACGGGATTTTTCAAGCAAAGCGGATGTTGTAGTCCCAAACGATAGCTGAGGATTATGGGTAGTGTAGTGTCTTCGGCCATCCTAAACTCAGAAAAAACTATATTTTTTTCCGAATCGAAGGTTAAAAACACAAAAGCATTGTCCACAATTTAAACCAATCAATGTTGTGTAATTAACAAGGATAATCTGATGTTTTTTAGTGGATGAGTACGGCAGATATCACTGTCAAATCATTTAACGGTGAGGGGAATACTTCCGGTTTTATTATTAGGGAGGCTGTGGCTCAGTGGCTAGTGTGCTGGACTTCAAATCAGAGGATAGCAAGTTCAAACCCCACTGCAATCAGCATGTCATTGTGTCCCTGGGCAAGACACTTCACCCCAAATTGCTCCTGTGGGGATTGTCCACAGTACTGAATGTATGTAAGTCGCTTTGGATAAAAGCGTCTAACAAATGACATGTAATGTAATGTAATGTAATGCAATTATGAAAACTTCGAGACCGGAAATACTGTTTTCACCCCGTGAGGGTTGACGCCAACTTTACATGGACGCTGCATGTTCAATAGAAATGAATAGGGGAAAGACGTAGTATATACACGTTCTCCTGGCGAGACCTCAAATCATCTTCGTAATATCTATCAAACTATAGATCCTACACATCCACTGGACCTGGATTCTAAAAGTACAATATACACTTCTCGCTAGAAATCTAATCAAAAAGCATTTTAATGGCCAAACTATTCTACAATTTAGGATTTTACAGAGAGGGTTATTTGTAAATACACGACCCTCCGGAGCGTTTGCAATCAACGGGAGCATCAGCCCATATGCCGCAAATTGTTGTTTCTTACACGACCACTAGAGGTGCTAAACTTTCAAACGTGACTATAGGTCGTAATAAGCTGACCTATTTGGTCGTTTTTTGGAGGAGGACAGGCTGAAAGTACAGTATGTCCCATTTTCTTCTGTTTTGTTCCAGGTATGCTGATCTTCATTAACTGTGCCTGTGTGAAGTGGGGGACTCTGGTCCAGGACATTTTCACTTACGCCAAGCTCATGTCGCTCTGCCTCATCATCGTTGTAGGAATAATAAAGATATCTGCTGGTAGGATTACATAAAGGTTTGAATGCATCCGTGGACGGATTAACATGTGTTTTACATTTTGACTTCTCTTTGTGTAGGAGAAACTAAGACCTTGGAGAGTCCGTTTGAGGGCTCCTCCACAGATCCTGGAGCCATAGCTTTGGCCCTCTACTCAGCTCTGTTCTCCTACGCCGGCTGGGATACACTCAACTTTGTCACTGAGGAGATAAAGAATCCGGAGAGGTACACACACATTCACAGACTGAAAGACAAACTAGTTTAGAGGCATGGAAACAGACACGTTGGAACTTTTTTACTAGCTTATTTTGGTTGACTGGCAAAGCATCTGCTTGTGTACTTTGTGTACAGAATGTAAATCTATGGATTTTGATTTACTCACAGAGAATTATCCAACAGGCAGCTGTTTAACATAGTGTATCATTTAAGGCTAAAAGGAATACTTCACCCACAAACTGACCCTTTGTATATCAACAACTCACCCTGCATAACCCTACATACTTGAAGAAAACATTGTAATGTCACATGTCTCCTTGGTGAACAAAGAATCGGAAAAGCAGCATATAGCTGGATGAAGGAGAATTGGGTTCTACTACACAGGTTTTGTGGGAGGTTGTAAATGGATGTATGATATGGTTTTTCTGTTGTTAAATGCAGTGACCATTTATTTCCATTCATCAGGACTCTTCTTTGTTTTTCTTAATTCTTCGTTCATTCACAGTAGAGTTATGAGAGGAAAATAAGGTTTACCTTGAGAATTCAAGGTAACACAGGGTTTAAAAAACATGTTAAAGCTTTAAAATTCACAAGTGGGGTATAAACTGATGTATTTTAGATTGTAGAGCAAAGGTTTAAAATCTCTTAAAATTGTGTTTACCACAATCAAAAAACCTATTCATTGACTTTGAGACGAGGAAAGTGGAATTGCAAAAATGCTGACTCATTTCCGGGTTGAAGGACTCATTCCTGCAGCTTTCAATTGCCACTTGGGTGAAATATTGTTATCGTCACATCAACTTCCTGTAATCCATGTTTCGGTAAAACAGGAGAATCATGTTTTCTTGTTCTAGGAATCTACCCCTGGCCATCGCCATCTCCATGCCCATAGTGACCATCATCTACCTGCTGACCAACGTGGCGTACTACGTGGTTCTGGACATGCCGTCTCTGCTGGCCAGTGATGCTGTCGCTGTGGTAAGAAACAAACCGTGTCCTGAGGGAGATGATTCACTCTGCTGCTAAATATAGTCTGTTTGGCACACTGACTTCAGACAGTGTAGTAAACCATGTTGATCTGACCCCACAGACGTTTGGGAATGCAGTCCTGGGGCCGTTCAGGTGGATCATCCCTGTTTCGGTGGCCATGTCCTGCTACGGAGGACTCAATGCTTCTATCATCGCTGCCTCCAGGTAAACAGAAAGAACTGAACTGACCAGGCTCTTATCTTGATAAACGTTCTGAAAATAACTTTCCAACTTTGTTAATGCTGAATGCAGGTTGTTTTTCGTCGGGGCCAGAGAGGGCCACCTCCCCAACAGTCTGAGTCTGATCCACCTGGAGCGCTATACCCCCATACCTGCACTGCTCTTCAATGTAAGGAAACTTGTCTTTGAATAAAACTGACATCACATTCCTGAAATACATACAAAGTAGTGTATGTGTATTGTTGTTCTGCAGGGGCTGATGGGTCTGATCTTCCTGTGTGTGGAGGACGTGTTCCAGCTCATAAACTACTTCAGCTTCAGTTACTGGCTCTATGTGGGTCTGTCTGTGGTCGGCCTCATCTACCTGCGCATCACTCAGCCAGACAGACACAGGCCCGTGAAGGTGAGGCTTTTTTATTCTTCCGATCATACTGTAATGAATACCATGCAATGCATACAACACATCGTGTATATATGTATTGACGAGTATAAGGGCCAAGGCGGAAAAATGAGGCGACTGAGAATTAAGAATAAAGTGAAGTGTCAAGCCTAAATCTATACTAACATTTATTTTCAACATTTAAACTTTGTTCTCAATAGGCAAAACATAATTATAAGTCTTTCTTCTTTAATTTAGTTTTTCTTATGCCTGACAATTAAAAGTTCAATTTTATTCATTAACAACTCGAAATGCTAGCCAAAAGATGTATCTTCCTTCGCATTATGACTGGCCCTAAAACGTTTCCATAGATACAGTATGTGCATACATAGACAATTCTAGTTACTGTGAGTCTTTCAAATATTATGGTTTGAAGTCATATTTTCTGTAATAATTGCACTTCAAACCTCCTATGTATCACTGGCAGATACATCTGTAGTTACATTAATAATCAAGATTAAAATGTATTAATTCAGACATGGTAATGTTATGAAATGCATATTGTTAAAGGGGCCCTATTCTGCTCATTTTCAGGTTCATATTTGTATTTTGTTCCTCTACTCTACTGTCACAGTATGTGTCTCCAAGCTGTCTCCATGCTTCAATGTTCAAAAAGCTCTTTATTTTCCTCATACTGCCTGTGCTGCAGCACCTCTTTTCACCCTCTGTCTGAAACCAGAGCCCAGTCTGCTCTGATTGGTTAACTGCTCTATAGATTAGGCCCATATTATTATTAATAATAATAATAATAATCACCTGAGAATATACAGACACCAGAGGAGAGACTCCAGCATGCCAGTGGCCTAAAGGGCTCTGAGGAAGCTTTTTATTTATTCTCTTCACTGCACTTAAGTTGTAACAGCGCAAACCTTTTTGTGTTAATCAAACAAAGACACTGAGCGGAAAGCTAAGAGGGTCTTTCATGCTGTGCCTGCTCTTATGAACATAACATGATGATACCATAGTTAACAAATGGTTTTAATCATTATTCTGCATGTTAAACATAAAAAGAAACTCGGATGTCAGTCACCAAACTGACCTCTTCTGTCTTTTTGTCCCCACAGTTGTCTTTATTCTTCCCCTTCGTCTACTGTCTGTGTAGTGTGTTCTTAGTCGTCGTCCCTCTGTACGGAGACACCATCAATTCTCTAATAGGAATAGGCATTGCTCTAACTGGGGTTCCTGTCTACTATCTGGCTATTTACCTGCCTGAAGATAGGAGGCCCAAATTCATACGCACGTTGAATGGTAAGTTCTCAAAATGGCCTCAATGGTCGTGTAAAGAATGTATTATTTTTGAAAGGTGCAGGATGTTTGCTATCTACTGTACTGTTTGCTGATCCGTCTTCAAAGCATAGGGACAATGTGTCGCTACTTTTACCAACTATACAAAAATGAAGTCAAAAATTGCGGATACACTACTGCAGTGGTTCTCAACTGGTTAGGCCTCGGGACCCACTTTTTACTTGGTCAATACATCGTGACCCAACATTTTGAAGCACTCAAATCTATTCAACAAAAAATCGTGCTGTAATATATACGCTTTTCAGAATACAATATTAATAAAAGTGAAGTACAGTGCATATATCCCTTCACAGAACTGAAGTATGCTTTTAAAAAAGGTTTAATGAGATGATGGAATCAAAGCTGAACTATATAAAAAGGCACACATGCTGAAAACCCAACCCCAGCAGGGGGGTCTGGGGGGATTCTCCCCCAGGAGATTTTTAGAAATACTAACATAAACTACGCATTCTGGTACACTCTGAGAAGAAAATAAATAAATCTATTACTACCCGACATATTAATAATATTTTATGCCATTGTTTGTTTTTCACTTAGTTCTGACAGCTTGCTGCGAGAAGAGGAGATAGTCTGTGTGACTTACTTTAAATTGTGGGTAAGGGTAGATAGCTCCCATTGTTCTGTGACCTGTCAATCATCAAACCGGGGGTCATATTTCATTATGTGTTCATTTTTATCTGAAGTTGTACCCATGGATGTATAAAGAATAGTTCTACCTCAGTTATTCTCCGTGGGGACTTCCGGCAACAATCTTGATTCTGATTGGCCAGAAGACTCGAAAAAACATCAGCAGAGATGTTTTATTGAGAAGATGATCACTACGTGACAGAAGTTTTCAAAACCATTTATGGTCTCCGGTACTTCCAGTCCAACGCCTACTGCATGCACAGCGTTAGAAAATCGGTCCTTCAAAATAAAAGTTTGCATTTTTTCTAAAAAAAAAAAAAAATTCCAATTTTTTTTTTCAACTTTTTTTTCTTCACTCACACATCCGCGACCCACTTGAAACGGGTCCGCGACCCACTTTTGGGTCGCGACCCACCAGTTGAGAACTACTGCACTACTGTATATGCCATCTTGAGGTTTTGATTTGATCAGTGCCACGTTCAAATTCAATGCAACTAGCATGGCAACAGATGATTAGCATTGGCCTTTTAGCTGCTATGTTAGCAACACGCTACCTTTTAGTCTAGAAAGAAACAACAACTCACTGTCCTAGCTCTATATATACAAGTATCGTGAAATGCATCCATGTTCTATTACAAAGACGTGAATCGTGTTTCAGAAACATGATTTATGTCTTCTGATACATTCTAGGAAACGAACACACACGACGGTCGGTAACCATAGACTTACTGCCAGGCGAGCTATCCTATCCTTAGCATTCAAGGTCAATGCCTACTTTCAAACATTTTGCGAGAATTTTGCCAATTGAGGATGACCATACATACTACATTCTCAATCAGTATAGCATAGGCTACTGACTTCTAAATACCCAAGTACAACATTACCATTAGCATTCTGAAGTATACTCAATCAAGACTGCAGAAGCTTGTCTGAACACTCCAACAAGCTTCTTCACATAAATGGAAACTTTAGAGAAATATTTCCCACCAGCCATTATTTTATAAACTGACAACATATTGGTATCTATATTGTTACTTTCTAGCCTGAAAATTGCTTAAAAATGCTAGTCAAGTATGTCCAGTAATCTTAAATGAAATAATCAAAAGATCTTGCTAATGTATACATCCGGGCGTTTTGAGCTAAAACTAAAAATCGCCTGACCATGCAGTAGGTGGCAATTTTCATGGCAACCTTTGTCCCCAGTGTATGATGGGTTAATGCTGGATTTGTTGTAAAAGTGGTTCAGTGATTGCAAAGGACTACAAAAAGTACTATATTAATGCAGTCCAGTTCATTTAAAAAACCATTTCCTGTAAGTGAATAATATTACCCAATCCTACATGCTACATGTTTATCACTAAACAATCCTACATGCTAAATGCTACATGTTTATCACTAAACAATCCTACATGCTAAATGCTACATGTTTATCACTAAACAATCCTACATGCTAAATGCTACATGTTTATCATTAAAAAATCCTACATGCTAAATGCTACATGTTTATCATTAAAAAATCCTACATGTTAAAAGCTACATGTTACTATTACACAATCCTACTTGCTAAATGCTACATGTTTATCATTACACAATGCTACATGCTACATGTTACCATTAAACAATCCTACATCCTAAATGTTCAACACAGTCTCACGGCATTTCGTGTTATAGTCACGAAATTAATCTATTGATTCGTGTTTACCAACACGATTTCGCCATTTTTTTCATGTCACACAGAACGATTTTAAAAGCAATGTAAATAATAACAAATTAGAAGGAAAAAGACATTTAAAAAAATACAGATTTAAGTATTCTGACACAGAACGATTTTAGAAGCAATGTATTTATATTGGTAGTATGTTTCGTGCCTGCACCAAATAATAACAAATTAGAAGGAAAAAAAGATGACATAAAATACAGATTTCAGTATTCTGAGGCTCTTTGCCCCATTTCTTTTCCTCGCGGACGGCAAAAAAACTCAGACATTATACAATTTAAAATAAAAGGGATAGGGTTAGGCTTAGGGTAAGATATTGAGTAAGAACATGTTTTTATGAACCACACAGCTTCTGGTCTTCCAAGACCCGACCGGACAAAAAGACGTGGTGCAGGCACGAAACATACTACCAATAGAAATACATTGCATTTAAAATCGTTCTGTGTGACACGGAAAAAAGGTGAAAATCGTGTTGGTGAACACGAATCAATAGATTAAATTAATTTCGTGACTAATAACACGAAATGCCGTGAGACTGGGTTGAAATGTTACATGTTTATCATTTCCCAATCCTACATGCTAAATGCTTACACAATCCTACATGCTAATGCTACATGTTTTTCATTAAACAATCCTACATGCTAACTGCTAGGCTACATGGTTATCATAACACAATCCTAAGTCAGGGCTGCCAACACTCACGCATTGAGCGTGAGAGTCACGCAATTAACCCATATCTCACGCACTCACGCCACACTTGCCTTTCCTCACGCTAAGTTTTCGTCCAAAATAAATGTATATAAATATAAAAATAAAGTGAAGGAACAGCAAACCGAGCCGTCTACGAAATGAGACAGTCTTCTGGAGTTCAGTCAAGTTGGAACGATATTGGGAGATTCTGATTTCACGGATCAATAACTCATGAACAAAACGTTATTCAGACACAAATGACGTCTCCTAAGTACCGTGGTAAGGTTGACAACGAACTACAATCACATTTTGATCAAAAAAAGCCAATACGCGCCGTCCTCCGAGCTGGGCACATTACATTGGTCTCTGTCTGCAGCCGGAGAAGAAACGAGTGCTCAGGGACCGTCTGCAAAGTGCAACTCCGAAAAAAGAGAATACAATAATATTCACTATTATACAGCTTATTACTACCAAACTCACCACACACATCAATAGTCTCCTGGTGGTCATACTACAGCAAGGAGTTTGGAAGAATATGCTTTTGAATAATTTTGGGTAATATTTATAATGTAAAATCTTAAATAAATATGGCATCATCTTAAATAACTTTACTATTATACAGTATATTTCTACCAAACTCACTATTTGCATTGTTGTTGTTAGCATATGGTTAGCTAGCTGCGCTAACGGATATTAGAAGCTGTTTCTAAAACAAGGAGAGAGAGCTCTCTGCTGTCAGACTGAGAGAGATAACTACAGCTCAGTGAGGTAAGGGACTCTCTGAGTGTTTAGATAGTTAGTTTAGTCTAGTTATCTCAGTGGGTCTCAAACGGTTTGGTCACCATTTATGAGAATAAATGAAAAACAGTTATGAAATACTATATGACAGTAAAACAAGAATACAGTTTAAAAGGTGAGTAATTTGTAAAATATCCATAAAGAAAAAGAAAATCTGTTTAAAGTTGTGTTTCATATGGGTGTTGAGAGATGTATCCTTACATTTATTTTTGCTCTCAAAGTGCACCAGATTGATGCATTTAACTTCAATATTTAAAAAAATAATTTATATTATTATATTATTATTATACATTTATAAAATAGCACTTTACCCCTGCTTACACCTATATGCCATTTTATATGCTGTGAGCTGATTATCGAGCCTTCATTGTAAGAGTCGCGGGTACACTGTGTATGTGCGTGCTCCACTGTAGCGCCCGGTACATTAATGGGAAACCCTAGTTTGTACTTGTTCAATACATTTGTAACACTGTACACATGGACGTTTATTTTTTCGGTTCACCAAAAAAAAAAATCTCACTCCAAGCTGAACTCAAATGTTGGCAGCCCTGCCTAAGTGCTAAATGCTACATGTTTATCATTACCTTTCACAATCCTTCATGCTACATGCTGCATATTAACAATCAAACTATCATGAATGCTACATGTTTATCATTACACAAATACACGTGTTATGTTTATCATTACTCAATTCTACATGCAACATGTTTATCATTACTCAAGTCTCCATGCTATATGTTTATCATTACATTATCCTTCATGCTACATGTTTAGCATTATACAGCCGAACCCTACATGCTATATCAATTCACCCATTCATCCCACGCGATTTTGTATTACTTTCAAAATACAGCGTTACTCATCATGATCAGTCAGCTGTAACTGACCTCTCCACATTATTCCCTCCTTCCCTCTTTCCTCCTCCAGAATTTGCCACCATAAACACCCAGAAGCTGCTCTACTGCTGCTTCACTGAATTTGACCCTGAGACAGAAGTAACAGCAGACAGTAAAGCGCAGTGAGCTGCAGACACACACCGCTCAGCAGCCGGCTCTCTGCAGGAGGCCTCATCCTGTCCATGTGTCGACATTCACTGCTCCCAGAACGCAGAACAGCAAGGCCTGGCACGGGCCGAGGGGTGAGGCGCAGGACCGCTACATTTGATAGGACTACTTCTCCCAGGTCGGGTTAAAGAAATGCCTGACATCTCAAATGACTCACCATGAAGGAGCAGGAACTGCAACCTGTTGTTTTCTTCTGAAATAATGCTGTATATTTGTGTACAGACATCAAGGAGCATAGCTTGAGAAGATGATACAACTATGGAACAAATATGGAGCTCATATTTTTTTTTTTTAGAGGACTTGCTGTGTTATTATTATGATTTTTTTATGATGGCATTGCAATATAATGACTACAACACTTAATGACCCTGACTTTATTTCTGTTAAGAATTCATTTTAATAAGGCTTTTCCTCAAATGACACAACACATAACAAACAGACATTACCCTTGATTAAATGACTGTCATTTGGTACATATTTTAGAGCAGTTTTTTATAAAAGCAGAACACTTCCTGTCACAAACTCTCATTAGCAGGCGGAGTGTCTCCATGAGGGGGAGCTGCTTCATCATGGTCAGACTGTAACTGCAGGGCCAGTTGTCCAATGATAATGGACCAATACTTATGGTACCATTTATAAGATGGACATGAGTTTGTGTTCATATGCATTAGAAAATGATATTTAAGTAAAAGGTCAAACCTTTCCAAAATGAAATAATTTGTTATGTTTAATAAGATGAATGTTTACATAATAAGTGCAGAGTTGAACAGATTCAGTCATATTTACACCTTACCAGAAGCTCTTATTATCTGTATCTGCTCAACAAGGCATTACATTGCAATAATCATGCATGATTTATACTTACAGTAACAGTGTGTATGAGGAGCCTACTGCACTGCAGGGTTTTTTTTCTAACCGTAACGCATGTAGGTTTAAAGTGTTTTTCTTATCTGTCTAAAATGCACTCTGTTTTTGTGTGACTTTGGTTGTACTGTTTTTCAAAGTCGACATATTATGCAGTTTTTCAGCCTCATACTTGAATTTGTGACTTAAACAGGTTTGCATGCTTTAATGTTTGAAAAACACATGTCTGAATATACCTGTATTCACGCTCGGTCTGAAACGCTCCGTTTTAGCACCTGTCTCTTTAAGGCCTTCTCAAATGCCCAGTCTGCTCTGATTGGTTCGTGCTTCTGGGGCTTGTGTGTCTGTCCTGTCTGCGTTTCAGTATGGAGCTAATTTCCTGCCATAACTCCACAAACAAACTAAACAGGTTTTACAAATGCCTTATGATTCACTAACAAACACAATGTGGTTTGCAAATACAAAACACCATCTACAAACTAATGAATTTAGTTTTGCAAAGAAAAAACGTATCTATCAAACAAACACATAATATTTTTCTAATAAATCATGTTTCAGAGACAAATTCAGCTTAGGTTTTACAAGTACACAACTTTTTTTTACAAGTGCACAAATTTGTTTTACAACTACAACACTTTGTTTTACAACTACAAAACTTTTTTTTACAAGTACAAAACTTTTTCTTCTCACGGCGGAATATTACTGCCAAAAGTCACGTGAGTGAGTCACGTGACTTTTGGCAGTAATATTCCGCCTTGGCTGGCTCATACAGTCACACATGCTCACCTCACTCACACATGCTACACGGCAGCAGGGGGCGCTACTGAGTCCATTGGGAAGACGGGAGGTTGAGCAGAGCATGGAACAGCCCTTGTCAGTCTGATGACAGGTGTTTCTCGCGATCCAGCGATCTGGGTCAGTGTTATAGTGATAATATTATAAACAAGGTGAATTTAGCGATCACAACGAAAACAGCCAAGACACATATTGAGCCCAGAAAATAAATGTTATTAGGGGCTGTAAATTAGGGCTGTCAGTCGATTAAAATATTTAATCGCGATTAATCGCATGATTGTCCATAGTTAATCGCGATTAATCGCAAATTAATCGCACATTTTTTATCTGTTCTAAATGTACCTTAGAGGGATATCTTTCAAGTTTTTAATACTCTTATCAACATATGAGTGGACAAATATGCTTTATATGTTTGTTTATTATCATTTGAACAATGACAAATATTCTCATGAATATTAAACACAACAACCTGAACATTACAAATATTCGCCTCAATTCAACCTGGAACCTCCCTCATACAATAATACTGTGTGTGTGTGTGTGTGTGTGTGTGTGTGTGTGTGTGTGTGTGTGTGTGTGTGTGTGTGTGTGTGTGTGTGTGTGTGTGTGTGTGTGTGTGTGTGTGTGTGTGTGTGTGTGTGTGGAGACACTGTGATGGATCGTTGGAGCTATGTGCAGCTCAAGGCATATATGCTCAAATGGGAGCTGCCTGGACGCTGCAATCATGTTGCGCGTACTATCCGTGCCGAGTGTGCTGACTTTTCGTACAATGTCCCACTGTCTGGCTACCTGCATAAAGTCAAGTGCTCGGCGCAGTTGTCGGCGAAATGTCATTGAAACAGCTCCTTATATCCGTTAGCGCAGCTAGCTAGCACCAGATGCTAACAACAACAACACGTAAGGTGTGCCTCGCTTGCGCGAGTCGCGCCACACATACACACTCCCTCCCGGTCCTCCCGATGGCCAGTCCGGGCCTGCCAGTGAGCGTGGAAGTGTGGTCTGCCACAAGCGGGCAGCAGGAGCGGGGCTGTCAGCATCAGCTTGTCGATGGTATTTTACACTCGATGCGCTCTGAAACTACGGCGGCCGAGGACAAAAAATACACATGCGTTAATCGCGTTAAAATAATTAGTGGCGTTAATTTTTTTTTGCGTTAACGCGTTATTAACGCGTTAACTTGACAGCCCTACTGTAAATATAATAAGCCTTTGTCTAAAATGGACAACATTGTAACTAAGGAGATTTAAACTATATATACAGCCAGGGGACGTTCGGGACGAATCCCGATGGGCCGGTACTGAAGTGGGCCGGGATAAGTCACTGCTCACCCCCCCTCCCCCCCGTCGACAATTTCCTCGCGGTATTTACTTGCGGCACCACCGAGGTGGGCCGCTTACTTGCGGTACCGAGGTGGGCCGGCGGTATCGAAGTGGGCCGGTCGAGTGTCCCGGGCTGATTTGTAGTCCCAGTCCGCCATACAGCGATTCTGCACTCGGTCAATCAGCTGCTTTTCATTTTTATTCCTGCTATATTCAATGAGTGATACAAATATTTTTTACCACAAGTTCTTAATAAAACTGACACTGTTGGACTCGGTACTAGTTGACTGCAACCAGAAATAAAATGAAGTACTTTACTGTGTACTTTGTGAGTAATCCTCTGTCAGAGTCCCCTCCATAGTACATAATGCATGTTTTTTGCTATCTTTGATGAATGATAAAAATAAAATGTTACCATTAGTTCTTAATGAAATTGATACGGTTTGACTTTGTATTAGTAAGCCTACTACTAACAATACATTGAAGTACTTTTACTGTGTATTTTTTGAGAAATACTCTGTCAAAGTCCCCTCCTGTGAACAAAATCAAGCCACTTCTGCTAAGTTTGATGAGGGAATTCTTTTTTGTTGCCATTAGTTCTTCGTGAGATTGATCCTGTTGGACTCAGTACTACTGAAACTACCCCCACAAGTACTATGAAGTACTTATTGTGTACTTTTCCAGTAATCCTCTGTCAATGTCCCCTCCTGAGTACAAGAATGCATGTTTTTCTTTTAATAAGCGTTAAAAAACATTTCTTCCTGAGACTGATATTGTTGGACAGAGTATTTTAAGAGGATGGCAGACATGATATCAGCAATACTTCCAGTCAGTACTCCGGCAGCAGCATTTTCACACCTTGGAAAGTCTTTAGAGTCTGGCCTGGAATGGATAGCTGGTCACAAATATCCTTCAGCAAAGTAACACACTCTGTCACATGGTTGCCCTCTTATGATGCTGCTGTCTTTTAATATATAATTATTCCTCTGCCGCTAGTTCGTTCCTCGCAGATTCTTCAGTCTCACACAGAGTGTCATCCTTCCATCAGTCCCAGTTAACGCCTCCAGCCCACTTCCAGTATCTGACTCCATATGATATTGTCCTGATGCTGTAAGGGTGATGCCCCATGATCACAAAATGACCCCTCTAGAGTGCCAAGGACCTCATATTATGTCTGTCATTAATGTTACATCACCCATTAAATCAACCAAAAAATATTTTTTTCCCTCATCAAACTTAGAAGAAGTGGCTTGATTTTGTTCTCAGGAGGGGACTTTGACAGAGTATTTCTCAAAAAATACACAGTAAAAGTACTTCAATGTATTGTTAGTAGTAGGCTTACTAATACAAATTTGATGCCTTAGCTGGGCAAATCACTTTTTTTTATGGTTTATTATCTGTTTTTCCTAAATACATAACAAAAAATAATAAAATGAAAGGTTCATTTTTCAAAAATGTTGGTGTCTAAATTGTCCTCCAATTCTGGAATGACCCTTTTATCATTCATCAAAGATAGCAAAAAACATGCATTATGTACTATGGAGGGGACTCTGACAGAGGATTACTCACAAAGTACACAGTAAAGTACTTCCTTTTATTTCTGGTAGCAGTCAACTAGTACCGAGTCCAACAGTATCAGTTTTATTAAGAACTTGTGGTAAAAAATATTTGTATCACTCATTGAACACCTGTCATCAGACTGGCAAGGGCTGTTCCATGCTCTGCTCAACCTCCCGTCTTCCCAATGGACTCAGTAGCGCCCCCTGCTGCCGTGTAGCATGTGTGAGTGAGCATGTGTGACTGTGTATGAGCCAGCAACGGCGGAATATTACTGCCAAAAGTCACGTGACTTTTGGCAGTAATATTCCGCCGTGAGAAGAAAAAGTTTTGTACTTGTAAAAAAAAGTTTTGTAGTTGTAAAACAAAGTGTTGTAGTTGTAAAACAAATTTGTGCACTTGTAAAAAAAAGTTGTGTACTTGTAAAACCTAAGCTGAATTTGTCTCTGAAACATGATTTATTAGAAAAATGTTATGTGTTTGTTTGATAGATACGTTTTTTCTTTGCAAAACTAAATTCATTAGTTTGTAGATGGTGTTTTGTATTTGCAAACCACATTGTGTTTGTTAGTGAATCATAAGGCATTTGTAAAACCTGTTTAGTTTGTTTGTGGAGTTATGGCAGGAAATTAGCTCCATATTTCAGCACCATCACTGCCATATGATCAGGCCCGCCTTAACCTGCCATCAGGCCCTGGGGCTGATGGGTTATGTAGGCCCCCTATTTAAACAACAAATCAAAGTAATTTATAGCCTCGGCAGGCTCTGTGAATAACACACACACACACACACACACACACACACACACACACACACACACACAC